TAGTAGCGATAACGAAAACTGATTAAAAATTTATTAATTATAAAAATAAAATTTTATGTTGATGCTGTTTTTTATTTCTCTATTGCATATTATTATTATAATTTATTAAATAAATATCAATAAAATAATGAAATAAAACTTTTTAAATTACCTACATACTAACAAATTTTTTTAAGTCCGGACCATTCTGACGTGCTGCCGCATTCTATCCTCACTGATATTGTTATTTACAACCACCCTAATGTCTTATTGTGAAGAGTAATTCGGGTACCCGACTCAAGATTTACGACAGTTCAAATATCGTGACGAGAAGTATACAGTATGCTTTAGAAGTAATGACATAAACGGGCTTTGATTCGGAAGTTTGCAGTTGTCGGTTTTCAGGCATTAGGAACAGATGGACAGGGGCTGTGAAAACTGATAAAATCTTGGCACAAAATATTAATAATTTTGAAGAATACCTAATTACTTACTTGACTTATATAAATGTATAAATAAATTATTTAAAAAACAACAGTTGCTCGAGAATTTCACCTTAGACTTCTGATGTATTTAAAATTAAATGTCGTTCGGAACAGGACGCTACTTTAGCAAGAAAAGCTGTTGAAGCATGGTCGTAAAGTAAATTTTGAAATTCTGTTAAAAAATACATGATTGTGTTACCTATATTGTTAAAGTTGTGTTTAGTTCAATGTTACAGTTAGAAAAAACCACATTTACTTTAAGAAAATATTGTCAATATTGGTTACAGCAGTTGTACGCTTTTCTATTAAATACAAGTGAATGTCTACTCATCTTTCACCTCTATTGAAACAAATTGTTAACTAAAATTGATAACATAACAAATTATGTGACAATTTTGGCGCGGAGTGTATTTAATGCTCTGATTTCTTTCCATTTTTTTTCTGTTTATGTAAAATTCTTCTTATTTTATGTTTCCCGTTTAATGTCTAACATAACTCAGTATTACGTGCAGGATGGCCGTAAATTGGGTTACGGTGCCATGCAAGGCATCCCGATGGTAGCATCATCACCTGTACGACACGACTCACCTATCGGCGTCCATCCCCTTGAAGTACAAGCTTACCAACCACCGTGGAAAGCCCTATCAGATTTCGCCCTTCATGCAGACCTTGAGCAACCCCATCAGCCGGCCTTCCAGCAGCTCGTCAACCAGGTTAGTTACTCCTATTAATATATTGTCAACATTAAAAAAATAGTAAGCGATAGAGTGAAAATCTACAATACTTTAGTTTACTACTTTATTCAATTACAGAGGACTAGATAAACTCAAGTGAAAATCAACTAATATTAATTACATAATACATATGTAATTAACCAGAGAAGGAAAATTTTACATCAGCGCCTATTCGAATCACTTGTTTGTTTTGCATAATTGGACTTTTGTTATTATTATTAAGTATATGAAAAAAAATTGGAATGAATAACAAGAAATATTAAATAATAACACAGGTCAACAAGGGTTCGGTAACATTGATGACAATTTGGTTAATAGTAGTTTTTTACTTCGTAAAATGGATTTAGTTTTTTGATAACACGTACCGTTGATTTTTTTGCATTTTTTACCAATAATATAATTAATACATTTTCTGCACTCCCACTTGGATTTTTTCCAATAAATCTGGGGGCTGTCAGTGACGAACAAGAAGAGAGGTTTCATCAAGACATCAGAAAGATGAAAGAACGCTATCAAGGCCGCTGGATGCCCATGATGGGCGATTACTGTTAGCTTTTTTAAAACGCGACAGTAACGTACCTAACAAGATTTTACTCTTTTATTGTAATATATGACTTTTTAAATGTTTCTAAAGTTTGTTTATTAAAATATTGTAAATATGCTCATAATAAAATAAATTAAATAGTTGAATTATTTTCAGTACTCTTTTGCTTTAACATGGGTGTCAGAACGAAGTTGGTAACATATACGAATGGTACGTGATGAGACATTTTTGTGAAAATTTTTGAAATCAGAGTGAAAAATCATAAACGTGGAAGGTAGTTTAATCAATGTTACCGAAAATTTGTTCAAATTTGTTGACCAGTGTAATTAGACGTAATGTTAAATAACATTCTTAATTAATCAATATTGATAATTTAATTGTACAGTGAGATCAAAAAGTCTGTCTATCAAGCAAGCGTAGAAATTTAAAACGTATGTCTGTAGAAGATAAAATGTCACAATGACAAATGAGAAATGTCAAAATTTTTTTTATGTAAATTATAACAGGAAACCGTGGTGAACGATTTTTATGGATAAACACCAACAAAATCTAATTTTAGTTTGTTTTGAGACGTTTTATAGAATAATTCAATTTAATTAGCTCAATGTTTTAATTTTTATATAATAATTTTTGACATCTAGAAACATACGAACTGCCATGCAACATACGTCCTCATCTAGGACGCCTACTTGATAGAAAGACTTTTTGATCGCACTGTATTAGCATTAGATAGGTATGTATACCTACGAAATATGATTATTTTATACAATAACTTGTGTCAACTTGAGTTTCTAAGTCAACAGCACTTTTAACAAAATTACCAACAGCAATAATAATTCGTAAGCTGACAAAATTGGTTGCTATAAACACTAAGAGTCAGTTTCATAATCGAATTAACCTAAAAGAGATTTAAATTAAATGTTGTTTAGAATGTTCTGATTGCTACGGATTTGTTGACAAAAATTTCACATCTAAACCTAAACCCAAGAATTTTTTTACTTGTGTTTAATTCGACGGTCTTTCAATTTGCAATTTACAATGCAACTTCTGGTGACTAGTTTTGGTATACCTATTGTTAGGTAGATACTATCTTATTTTGCTGTTTCTGAAAACTTTTGGTTTATTTATTTTTAAGAAAATGTTAACTTAGAAGTGGCATTTTTACCAAAAAAAGTTAAATAATAATTAAACTTTTTTTTGTAAGTGATAATATTTTAGTCAAACTATGACCATAGTTTTTAAATAGAAAATGATTTATTAAAAACGAACCACCTTGGATATCTCTGAAAAATAAACAAAAATTAGAAAATTCCGCGAGATAGATCAATTTTTATTTACAGGGGGACACTTTTTAGTGTGCTTTCGAAATTTGTATTACCTACCTACCACTTTGCTAATACAGACAACCTCTTCAAAATTTTAAATGCCACCACCCTCTTTGTGATACTTCAAATGAAACTTTATTTTGACCAAGAATTTGGCTGTGTGTTTTTTGAGTTTTGATTGTTTTTTTTTTATAAGGTTACATGGTTACTGGTAACAGTAATGTACAATCAGCGTAGAAAAGATTGTCCTCCCAATAAACCGCCCGAACCCTTAGAGCCTGATCCCATAAACTACAACAATAAATCTTTTCCATTGTAAACGTCATTTCATATTTAACAGTATATTCAATTTGAAGTGAAGCTTAGCTTAGTTACCGATTTTACTTTCAATTGAGTAGATAAATAAAAAAAAATTTGAAAAATTCACAACTTTATATCGCAATTTAAAGTTAAATTAAAAAATAATTTTAATGAATGTTTGATGTTATTTATTTACTAAGATAACAAGTAAATGCCGTTTTAAATGGTATAATAAAATAAACAATATTATTATTATAAAAAAAAATTTGGGCATTGACCATTTTTCCACGTGGCCAAGGAGGCTGATCATTAGGGATAGTGTTGCTATCAACTAATGATATGTGTCCAGTAATTGCACGTGCAGGCACGACATTTATACTTTGACAGTGAAACAAACACTTAATTGATAATTGATTAATT